TTTGTGCACAGCCAGCTTTGTACTCTTCTAGGTTCAAAAAACTGTTGTCCATAAAATGCGTTGCACAAATTCGAACATCTGGGTTGTGCTGTTCTGTTGTAAATAAATCTTAACCAATGATTCCTAATTGCATCTACTTCCGGAAGGCCAAATAAAGTGCTTTTGCTTTCGCACTGAAATACACAGCGTCTCCCTGACATGGCTGCATCAACACTACTGCTGTTCCTGAAACCACGCCGCCTTTCTTTGCGTGCACATTTGGGCGGCATTATGCTAATATTTCCACATAGTGACATAGACATGTGGGGCCGTGTTAGAACGAGCCGTTTTAGGTAGGTGTGGTTGAATCTTAACTTTTATAAAGAATATCTCTTTGGATTTGAGACTTTAGTCTTTGCAACTTTACAGATCTTCTTTATGCACCAAGAGCTTGTAACACTCCAAAGAGAAAGGAAAACTTGAAATCGCTTCATATGACCCCTTTAAAATGTCTAAATGAGGCCATGAGCGTTACCTCTGCCACTGAGGTGCAGATTTTCCTGTTGGAGCCAAAATCCCTAGGTCAGAGAGTGCGTTAGACTATTTTGCAAGCAACTGGCTCCAATTCCCCTTTCTGGCAGACGAAGCTCAAAAAATATCTGTTTGTGCCATTTACCATCTGATTGAGGACAGCTGACACAGACAAGCTTGCATTAATATGGCTGAAACATAGACTGGCTTTTAAACTGTCAAAAATACTTTCTTATTCCATAATGAAAGCTTGTGCTCTGAAATTATTTATGTTCTTTAAGAATACATGAACTTTCTATCAGTTTGGAGCACTTCATTACATGTTTTTGAAATTTTTCAGCATTGCGACCTGGAGTTATGAGAAAGGTAGTCATGCTTTTTGGCAGTACAAGGATTTCTGCATTAATGGTTTCTAAAGTGAAAGGCTCCGCTTGTAGCTTGCTGAGTTATAAGCACTGATAGTGAGAGGGACAAAGGAGGTACAGTGTGGCAGAGAGAGCTGCTTGATAAATGTGCACTTTTGTGCAGAAATGGAGGGAAGGAACTGATTACTGAAAATGTTAATTCACTTTTCCTCCATTATCTTCAGAAGTCCTGGTCTTATCCCTCTGATAAGGTTGCTGAATCTTTTGGCATCCTCTGCCATGATATTATTGCCCTAGTTCAAATTATAACAGAGGTGTGTCTGCTGTAACCAGTTACTCATGGACAGTTGGCACGTCAAATGGTCCAAAGCCTGAGAAAGAGCCTAAAGTGTGTTCATGTTGCCACACCCAGCAACTTGTTGGTCTGTGCCAAATAGGGTTGCATGGTATAGGGCTTCCACGATATAGGTTCATCTGATAATCCTAATTACTTTGCTCAAATCATAGTCATGATTATTAATTAAGGCTAATAAAGAATTCCTCACAAATCACCAATCAAGAGAATGTCAACTTGCATGGTTTATTTGATCTAGTTTCCTGATGTATTATCATATAAATAGAAACACTCTTTATGTGAAAACTGGTACAAGAAGCTTCTCTCAAAAGCTAAAACCGGAATCCCGATTAAAATGACTCATCACACAACCCTAGCACGGTAAACCAAAGCTAAAAAAGTACTAAAAATGTAGAAAAATATATATATATTTCAAAACCTGACCAGGATAACAATGTGCAGCTCTTAAGCACAGTTTGCCAGTTCAGGCAATGTAACGTCAACAGTGTAACTACTGTCGGACATTGTATACGAGTCAGAAAATACTTTTAGTCAGCTGTTTTGTCTATTTCTTTATTTAATTAACCACTTGTGTTTCATCCTCTCTTTTGCAATCTTTCAGTCTAAGAGCAGTTTGATGGAGAGTCAGTCTGCTGACGCCGAGCCTCCACCTCCACCTCCACCTAAACCAGAGCTCAGATACCCTGGGCTGTCACGAGGACCTGCCGGACACTCTGAGGGTTAGAGCAAACTACAGTAGCATTCTGATTCTCTCAAACATACATGGATAATTTTTGCCTTATTTGAGCATTTTTTTAGTTACTGATTACATTAAAAAAATTAAACATTTTATTTTTGGAAAATAAAGGGGATTTAATATTACAATTAAAACATTGAAGAAATATTGTATGATTATTCCTTAAAAATAAGATTTTAATAATTGTAGTAGTAGTAGTAGCCTATTACGTACATTCTACTGAAAATTAGTAATATATTTCTGCCGCAATGCCTTCAAGTTAAACCGAACTTTTATTTTGACGGGTTGCCGTGAATACCTTTACGTTCCTGTGTTTATATGATATGAGGATAGTTTTACTCCAATGAAACGGTCAAATGCTCATGAAGTGACTCTCAGAGCAGTTCTGGAGATGTTGTTCATGTATTTATGTCCTCATTAGTTAGACGACAGACGTTAATATCAACAGAAGAGTCACGCGCACTTCAGTACAAGTAGTAAACAAAACCGCACATCTCACACACACACACACAGAGCGGACAGCATTCAAGCTGCGTGTCGCGTTCGGTTATGACAGTCAGGACGATGACACTCTCTCCGAGAGCGCTCAGTAAATGAACTTTACAACTGTTAAAAGAAAAGGCTCAATAAACTACAGAACATATTTAATACACTACGCATCAATATATCTTCTCTTTCTGCTTTAAACTTTTCTATGTGGAGCGCTGCGCTCTGTGACTCCGTGTTGCTTCAAGCACATCATTCTGCGACGGGATGCGCATAAGCGCTTTGTGCCGCTCTGGATTTAGCCTTTCATACTGTATTTATAATACAAGAAAGGCTATTAATCATTTAATGTATAGCACAGTTATGGAGGCAGCAACATATGATATAAACGACTCCTATCTATCATATGTTGCTGTCTCATTACTGCTGTGCTGTGCATTTAAAAGAAATGTATCTTAAGTTTATAGTATATCGTAATTAATTTTGGTGCAATATATCGCTCAACAAAAAGTAGTTATCATGACAGCCCTAACACCAAAGCATATTAATGTTCTGTTTATTATAAGCAAGCACTGCAGTTATCTTGTGTGCCACTTTAAATGATCGAGTCTAGTGCATTAAAATCTAAAATCTAGTGAATTTTGATTGACTGTCAATTTTTTTCAAATTGTAATGTTTTAAATGATATCGTACCTTTGTGTCATCCTTATAGTTGTGGTGTGAACTTTTGTTTTCATAGATTTAGAACGATTATTTTTGGTGTGAACAGGCCTTAAGATTGCGATTACCTGTTGCAGTGCTGTTGTCAGTTTAATTCACTTTTACATGCCTCAAATGTGTTTACAACTCTAAATCTGGTTCTTTCTGTTCTTTGTTTGCAGAGAGTAGTCTGTTGAATAAAGCCCCGCCCACCCCCACCATGTTCAAGTACAGGCCCACATACAGCAGCCCGGGCAAGAACCACACTGCCCTCACACATGCCTATGCCAACCAGGTAACTTTTCTCTGTCGATTTACATGTTGTTTATCTGAAGTAAAGAGGTCTATGTGTTCATTCACAATCTATGTGGGTGATTCACGACATTTAATTTTACATCATTTACATTCTTTTGCATGACTGTAATTATTATTTCCTTTACTCCACATACTTTTAAGTCTTTTTTTCTCTAACGTTTTGTTCAATCCATTAAATTGTTTTCCCCCCTCCAATTTGGTTGACTCAGTGGCTTTCAGTTGAACAGTATCAGTAAGTTTACACTGTAATACTTTTTCTGTGTGTCTGTGTGTGTTATTGTTTTATTATGTGCCAATGATCATCTCCTTTCTCTAGTATCTGTCTTTTTCAGTGTCCATATGCATTAATTTTTAAATGCAGCTTGTTGCAGCTGAGTTTCTATTTATTTATCATTGTTTTATGAATCTCCCACTATTTAGTTTATCACCATAGTAGTTATTTTGTATCTTTACATTAATTAAGGGTTATATATTATATAAGAATGTTGTCTTTACAAAAAGACCGCGTTGCTTTCTCAAAAGGCCACCGCTTATACAAAAGAAGAATTGGCACAGACAAAATGGTTGTTCTGAAACAAAAGAATAAATATAATCTGTTCCATTTGTTTAATTATACTCTAGTAGTGTTAATAAAGCCTACAGTGTTTAAACCACAAAAAAACAATCTCTCCTCACAGAGTGGCCGTGCAAAACAATTTGCTGGTTGCAGCTGTGGGGGTGTGTCCGTTTTGGCTCTACTATGCTGGATTTGGATATATTAGATGAGAAATACACCATGTCATGTGATTTTGATTGATTCTGAAAGACCTGAGGCCTCATGAATAAAACTTTACTGAGTTTCCATTATAAAAGCTTGTGTACACGGAGTTTAGATTAAAAAAAATAATAATTGTATTAACCCTGCTGGTCAAGATTGTGCTTAAAGGGGTCATATGATGCTGCTAAAAATAACATTATTTTGTGTATTTGGTGTAATAAAATGTGTTTATGCGGTTTAAAGTAAAAAAAAAATCATTATTTTCCACGTACTGTACATTATTGTTTCTCCTCTATGCCCCGCCTTTTTGAAACTGGTCGATTATTACAAAGCTCATCGGTCTGAAAAGCGAGGTGTGCTGTGATTGGCCAGCTATCCAGTGCATTGTGATTGGCCGAATACCTCAAGCGTGTGACGATAATGTTACGCCCCTCACCATACTGTTGATGCCGTGTCCCGGCCGGAGCGACGAGACAAAAACATTAAAACCCATTACAAAAGAGGCATTTGTTGCATCCAGTGGGGACATAATTACTGATTATAATGACTTATACTGTCTTTTTACGCGTTGCGTTGTATCACGCCGCGTAAACATAAAACCCTGTCTGCATTTGTGATCGGAGAAATGACAAACAACAAGTGCTACTCTACACTGCCCAAAACTCGCGTTTGAATCATCAGTGGCAAATCCTTTAAATGAAAACGTACTTACAGTCTGTGTGTCAGAACTGCCGGCATTGTAGTCTACTCTTCCAGGATCAGGAAACAGTCCTCCATAAAATGTGCTCCACACATCTGGATATTTGGGTTGAACTGTTCTGGAACAGTGTTGTAAATACAACTTAACCACTGATTTCTAGTCGTGTCCTCTTGTAGTCGGAAGACCGAACAAAGTAGTTTCGCTTTCGCAATGAAACACACGGCAGCCTAGCGTGAGCTGAGGCCGGGCTAGAGTGAGCTGAGGCGGTGGGCTTGACCGGCGCGGCCGGCGGATTCGACGAAGGAGCGGCAACCACATGTGACGACACCGGACTGGACTCCGCTTCGTCCACGGTGAAAGCCGATCCGGCAATCCACAGAACTAAGTTGATGTATTCCCTCAGCGACCAGCACAGATCAGCTCTAGGCATGAACTTTTATTTTGACGGGTTGCCGTGAATACCTTTACGTTCCTGTGTTTATATGATATGAGGATAGTTTTACTCCAATGAAACGGTCAAATGCTCATGAAGTGACTCTCAGAGCAGTTCTGGAGATGTTGTTCATGTATTTATGTCCTCATTAGTTAGACGACAGACGTTAATATCAACAGAAGAGTCACGCGCACTTCAGTACAAGTAGTAAACAAAACCGCGCATCTCACACACACACACACACACACACAGAGCGGACAGCATTCAAGCTGCGTGTCGCGTTCGGTTATGACAGTCAGGACGATGACACTCTCTCCGAGAGCGCTCAGTAAATGAACTTTACAACTGTTAAAAGAAAAGGCTCAATAAACTACAGAACATATTTAATACACTACGCATCAATATATCTTCTCTTTCTGCTTTAAACTTTTCTATGTGGAGCGCTGCGCTCTGTGACTCCGTGTTGCTTCAAGCACATCATTCTGCGACGGGATGCGCATAAGCGCTTTGTGCCGCTCTGGATTTAGCCTTTCATACTGTATTTATAATACAAGAAAGGCTATTAATCATTTAATGTATAGCACAGTTATGGAGGCAGCAACATATGATATAAAGGACTCCTATCTATCATATGTTGCTGTCTCATTACTGCTGTGCTGTGCATTTAAAAGAAATGTATCTTAAGTTTATAGTATATCGTAATTAATTTTGGTGCAATATATCGCTCAACAAAAAGTAGTTATCATGACAGCCCTAACACCAAAGCATATTAATGTTCTGTTTATTATAAGCAAGCACTGCAGTTATCTTGTGTGCCACTTTAAATGATCGAGTCTAGTGCATTAAAATCTAAAATCTAGTGAATTTTGATTGACTGTCAATTTTTTTCAAATTGTAATGTTTTAAATGATATCGTACCTTTGTGTCATCCTTATAGTTGTGGTGTGAACTTTTGTTTTCATAGATTTAGAACGATTATTTTTGGTGTGAACAGGCCTTAAGATTGCGATTACCTGTTGCAGTGCTGTTGTCAGTTTAATTCACTTTTACATGCCTCAAATGTGTTTACAACTCTAAATCTGGTTCTTTCTGTTCTTTGTTTGCAGAGAGTAGTCTGTTGAATAAAGCCCCGCCCACCCCCACCATGTTCAAGTACAGGCCCACATACAGCAGCCCGGGCAAGAACCACACTGCCCTCACACATGCCTATGCCAACCAGGTAACTTTTCTCTGTCGATTTACATGTTGTTTATCTGAAGTAAAGAGGTCTATGTGTCCATTCACAATCTATGTGGGTGATTCACAACATTTAATTTTACATCATTTACATTCTTTTGCATGACTCTAATTATTATTTCCTTTACTCCACATACTTTTAAGTCTTTTTTTCTCTAACGTTTTGTTCAATCCATTAAATTGTTTTCCCCCCTCCAATTTGGTTGACTCAGTGGCTTTCAGTTGAACAGTATCAGTAAGTTTACACTGTAATACTTTTTCTGTGTGTCTGTGTGTGTTATTGTTTTATTATGTGCCAATGATCATCTCCTTTCTCTAGTATCTGTCTTTTTCAGTGTCCATATGCATTAATTTTTAAATGCAGCTTGTTGCAGCTGAGTTTCTATTTATTTATCATTGTTTTATGAATCTCCCACTATTTAGTTTATCACCATAGTAGTTACTTCATTTCTATAACTTGAAAAAAGTAAGGGTTATATTATATAAATATTATTGCTTTCTCAAAAGGCCACAGCTTATAAGAAAGAAAAACAAAAGAATAAATATAATGTTCCATTTAATTATACTCTAATAGTGTTAATAAAGCCTACAGTACGTCAACACAAACAACCAATCTCTCCTTACGGAGTGGCTGTGCAAGACAATTTGCTGGTTGTAGCTATGGGGGTGTGCCGGTTTTGGCTCTATGGTGCTGGATTAGGATATATTAGATGAGAAATACACCATGTCATGTGATTTTGATTGATTCTGTATAAAAGTTTACAGAGTTTCCACTATGGGTACCTTTGTGTCATCCTTATAGTTGTGGTGTGAACTTTTGTTTTCATAGATTTAGAACGATTATTTTTGGTGTGAACAGGCCTTAAGATTGCGATTACCTGTTGCAGTGCTGTTGTCAGTTTAATTCACTTTTACATGCCTCAAATGTGTTTACAACTCTAAATCTGGTTCTTTCTGTTCTTTGTTTGCAGAGAGTAGTCTGTTGAATAAAGCCCCGCCCACCCCCACCATGTTCAAGTACAGGCCCACATACAGCAGCCCGGGCAAGAACCACACTGCCCTCACACATGCCTATGCCAACCAGGTAACTTTTCTCTGTCGATTTACATGTTGTTTATCTGAAGTAAAGAGGTCTATGTGTCCATTCACAATCTATGTGGGTGATTCACGACATTTAATTTTACATCATTTACATTCTTTTGCATGACTGTAATTATTATTTCCTTTACTCCACATACTTTTAAGTCTTTTTTTCTCTAACGTTTTGTTCAATCCATTAAATTGTTTTCCCCCCTCCAATTTGGTTGACTCAGTGGCTTTCAGTTGAACAGTATCAGTAAGTTTACACTGTAATACTTTTTCTGTGTGTCTGTGTGTGTTATTGTTTTATTATGTGCCAATGATCATCTCCTTTCTCTAGTATCTGTCTTTTTCAGTGTCCATATGCATTAATTTTTAAATGCAGCTTGTTGCAGCTGAGTTTCTATTTATTTATCATTGTTTTATGAATCTCCCACTATTTAGTTTATCACCATAGTAGTTACTTCATTTCTATAACTTGAAAAAAGTAAGGGTTATATTATATAAATATTATTGCTTTCTCAAAAGGCCTTATAAGAAAGAAAAACAAAAGAATAAATATAATGTTCCATTTAATTATACTCTAATAGTGTTAATAAAGCCTACAGTACGTCAACACAAACAACCAATCTCTCCTTACGGAGTGGCTGTGCAAGACAATTTGCTGGTTGTAGCTATGGGGCTGTGCCGGTTTTGGCTCTATGGTGCTGGATTAGGATATATTAGATGAGAAATACACCATGTCATGTGATTTTGATTGATTCTGTATAAAAGTTTACAGAGTTTCCACTATGGAAGTGTGTACACAAGGTTTAGATTTAAATAGTATTAACAACTGTAGGTCAGGGTTGGATTTAAGTCTTAATTGAACAATTGTCTTCCTTTTAATAGCAGTACACCAGCACACCGGTAACTGTGATATGTAAAAAATGAAATATTAATATCATTACTACACATACAATAATGTCGCAGGCACAGGACTTTTATTAGTCTGGTAGGACGTAAAATCACATATACATTGTTCAGTTTTGGTATCATTTAGTAGCAAAACAAACTAGGTATTCATGAGGAGAGCTATATTTTGTTCTGTGAACTAAAAATGTACCTGCAAGTTAAATGGATGAATTATGCACAGTCACTCTACAATCAAATATACAATTTTAGGCTAAGAAGCCAAACAGGGTAAATGTCATGCTTGCTTGTAGCTTACTTTTTGTACATGAGGCCCCAAGGCTTTTTATCCCCTGACATAAAAGACCACAAGGCAAGAAAAGATAGATGTTGTGGTCTTTAGATTTTTAACGTTGCTCATGTGATGTGGTGTGCTATACTGAAACAAATGCAAAAATGACACTGCCTTTAGTGTGTCTAAGTTTGTTCCCTGCCTTTCCAAGCTTAGCCTCTCTGTCCGTCTCAACGCTGGCTCTTTATTATAGCTATAGAAAGCACTTTCCTAAATCATCTGTCCCCAGTGGCCCACAAGATCCTTACCCCAAGGGTTTTGTCCTTGACAGCATCCCTTTGAATTTAGCTTTCAGATTACCTTTGAAACTTAATAAACTCTCTTCTGCCTGCTGTCTCTCTCTCTCGCTCTCTCTGTAGATGAGTCGCGGGGACAGTCTTAAAGAGTCCTCTTCCTTTCTCCTCCAGTCCAGTCAGCAGCCAGGCTATCGCTCTGAGCCCAGTCTGGATGGGCGCGAGGGGGGTGGAGGAGCAGAGCGAAGCGGGCCAGAGCGAACCGCTGGGGGTCCTGGAGGACCTCCAGGCTCAGGGATCACAGGATACTCCCTAGGAGGGCGTTCATATCCCTCCTTCTCTGATCCCACAGTTCTCGCCGGAGGGGCCTCGCGGTCCTCCAGTGTTCGCTCTTCCCACAATGCCCCGCCATCCGAAGCCACCACCTCCACCAGCTACAAAAGCTTAGCCAATCAGACGCCACCGCCGGCTCCTCGGAACGGCAGTCTATCGTACAATAGTCTGCTCACGCCGTCCGAAAGCCCAGATTTTGAGTCGGCAGCGCCTGAGATGTCAGCAGGCCCACTGCGCATGCCTGTAGTGGGATACAGTTCGCCTTTCCTGTCGGCACAGATCGCCCAGCAGCGGGAGGCGGTGCTCCACCAGCCGTCTGCCTCCAGCGCCACCCTCCTCGCCTCCCCGCAGCACGCCGGCTATCTACGTGGCTCCACCTCCTCTCCGCCCGCTCCACCTGAACGCGAGCGGGAACGCCTGCTGCACGACTCTCAGCATCACCACCATCACCACCATCATCACCACCACCATCACCATCGGCCTCCCCGCTTCTCTCGACCCCCCCTGCTCTCTGACTCGGGCCCGCCTCAGCCCTCATATCCGTACCGCACGCGCTCCACTGACACGCCCCTGCCGCCCACCACTCACCCTCCACGCTCGCCGCACCCCCCGCCGCTGGGGAAGTCTCTGTCTTACTCTAGCGCTGCCGCTGCTGAGATGCAGTACCGCCTGGTCCGCAAAGCCTCTGCATCGGTCGGGGGAGGGGGCATACAGGCGCCAAAGTGAGTACCTCCCCCTCAACCTTACGACGCTCTGCGCAGCCTGCTGCCTCCTTCCTCCTACTCTTCCTCCTCCTCCTGCTCCCAGACTCCTGTGAGTGTATTTCTTTCACTTCTTTCTTCCTTCTGCTTTTTCCCATCAGTCTAAACTCATTCTGTCGAGGAGACTCGCCAGTAATTTTATGCTTTCATCGGTGATCATCTGTTGCTTTCTGCTGCTTGATGTCATGGTGTTGAACGTTTGAGAATCATAATTGTCAAAGTATTAAAACAGAATAAAAATCAATTATCTTTAATAAATTGTTAAATAGTTAAGAGACTTAAATTGTTAAATTGTTAAATACTTGTTTTTTAAAGATTTTTTATTAAATTTTTGCCTTTATGACGACAGGACAGATCAGAATTGACAGGAAGCGATGTGGGAGAGAAAAAGGGGGCGGGATCGGTAAAGGTCCTCGAGTTGGGATACGAACTCGGGACGCCTGTTAAATTAAATTTAAATTCATTATTTATTTTATGTAAATAATATTACTAATGAAATTTAAATGAACACATCCACAACCATTTCATTTAAAATGTCCAGTCTTTATTTAGATTTTAAATTTCATTATTAATATTGTTATTATTATAATTATTTTTGTTATTTTATGTATTTATTTTTAAATAAATTGACAACATTGGCAAAACAACATAAAAATCAAAATGAAAAAGTAAATGAAATATATTATTAAAGTATTACTGATTTAATTTTTAAAAATCCTCTAACCATTTAAATTTAAATGTCCAGTCAACCATTACAGAATTCAAAGGCTTTGTTCATACAAGCATTTTATATATATATATATAATATATATATAATTATATATAATTATTATTATTTTTTTAAATGCAATAAATATAATTGCATTTATACATGAATTATTCTGAATAATCAGGTCAGATTTCAGGTAGTTTTTCTTGTAATTGAGGACAGGGTCAGACTTCTGCATGAATGCATAACATTTTGTAATGCCTCTGTTGTAGCAAATTTAGTAATGTTCCTTAGGTGTGTCAGTGCCATATCATGATGTCACAGTAAACATGAACAGAATCAAATAAAGCACTTGTCACATGTGGAGAGACAGGATGGAAAACTATATTTTTAAAGTCTCCTGACATCATGCTGCTGATTACGTTGTTACCATGGCGACCTAGGTAGATAAACTGGATATTGTTTACTCTAGAATAAACAAGACAGATCCATTTTAATCACTGGCAAAATGACTAAATGGATAGATCTGAGACAGCGAAAACTTCATCACTGCTCATTTAGGGGTCTGGAAAGCCTGCTTTGCTTTTGAGTTATTAGTCAGCTTTTATCTAATCTGCTTAGAATGAGGGAGAGAAAAAATGAAACACATTCTGTCATAAGAGCTTTGTATTTTAAGTTGACATGTATGCATTGTTATTTGGAAACAAACCAAGGGCCAAGCAATGATCCCTCATCATTAACAGTCATTTGAGTGGCATGCTGACAGCAGAGCTGATGGTTAGAATAAACCTGCAATGCTTCAGTGCTTAAGAGAATGTTTCCTTTGCAAATAGTGTGGCAGGGAAATAGAAATTGACTGGCAGGCAAGGCTGAATTTGCCTTTCTGGCTAAACTTCCTTCATTGCCTTTTTGCACTTTGTTTTCTGAACTGATGTCTGCTCTGGGAGGCTTTTAACTGACATCTGTAATATCATATCACAGGAAGTGAATTTGACAATTTATATATTTTGTGATTTATATATTATCATCAGTTATCATACTGTAATTCTTTCTTGTGTGTTGTGACTTATTTTTTGGTTACATTATGATGCTTTATTTATTTATTTAACTGTGGGAGTGAAACATTTATGACTACGCAAAATTGCACATTTCACACCACTTTAATATTGACCCTATTCATTTTTCATAATACAGGCTTGTGTTTGGTTTGAATGCATGCTACAGAATCATCATACTTTTACTCTAAAATACACTAAAGCTCAAAGTTTTTTTTGTATGTCTCTCATGCTCTACAAGTTATTTACTTTATTTACTTAAAAACTCAGTAATATTATGAAATATTATTCGAACTGTTTTCTATTTTAATGTTTTAAAATGTAATTTACTCTTGTGATGCAAAGCTGAATTTTCAGCGGTCTTCAGTGCCATGTGACCCTTCAGAAATCATTCTAATATGCTCATTTGCTGCTCAAGAAACATTTCTTATTATCAATGTTGAAAACAGTTGAACTGCTTAATATTTTTTGTGGAAACCATTATATATATATATATATGTTTTCAGAGCTTTTATTTAAAATATGAATCGTTATAACTTAAATTATAATCATTATGAATGTATTTGATTGCCACTTCCATCAATTTAATGTCAAAACAAACTTTTGAACAGTATTGTAAGTACTAAAAACTGCATTCTAATCTAGATCTTTCTCTAACATCTCTGTTTCTCTGGTTTAGGGACGAGATTCAGATGAAGTCGTATAATCGGACAAACGGGCAGCCCAAACCATCTTCCACCCCCTCGTCCCCCTCTCATCCTGTCAGCGTGTCCACTCGCCCAGGTCAGGCATATTCCAGTGCTGGCTCTTCTCAGAGCCCCGCCCACAAGCCTGGAGGCGGGGTGAAGAAGGTGACGGGTGTCGGAGGGACCACTTACGAGATATCAGTGTGAGAGACACGCTGGTTTGACCCGTGTTGTCAAGAATTGAGCCATGGACTCATTTTCCTCACTGACACAGCAGAGAAAATCCTGTTTTGCGGACATTTATTGGTGCCTACAGGAAAGATCTGAAAACTTCTGACCTCTGCTGTTATTTTTTGAAAAGGAAATAATGCTGACCAGCAGGTTTTGGTTAGATATGACATAGAGGAGGAGGAGGAGCAGGGGGTCATTCGAGTCGTGACAGTGGGACTTCAGGACTCCTCACCAGTAAGGAGCTGGAGCGCATAATCAGTGTGACGGCAAAGGACCGGATTGCCTTGAAAACATTTCAGTACATAACAACAAAAAAAGATTTTTATCCAACATAAATGTGTAAATTGTTCTGTATAGAGAAAAAAAGATCAGTTTGTTTTTTTGTTTGTTTTTTTTAATCACCGAGTGGAAGTAGATTTTTACAAAAGGGGACCTGTGGCATTCAGCAGCCATTTCAGACCACTGTGTTTGGCATGCGACAATGTTGCGTCTGTATCCAATCAGCACCAGGGAAGCAAAACAGTAGAAAAGATAAGGAAATGGACTAATGCGTTATTTAAATTACTGCAGCCTTTTCAAGTGCAAGTAGTGTTTTCTGAGCAATGGCCTTGGAAATTCAAGAAAGTTTTTATTTAATTTATAAAGTGTTTGTTTATATGACTTTATAAATGGCTATTGATAAGATCAAAATGTTTTTTTTGTTTTTTTTTCTACAAAGGCTGATATTTGTTCTCTATGGATTTTATCTAATCAAATCGAGGGATAAAGAGCTGATGGCCGCTCTAGCTAGAAAGAGATCAGCTGGTAATCAGAGGGTTAATCGTAGCATAAAAATGCATTTGATATGGTGGAGCCCAATCTGTGAGGCAGATTTCAAATTTTATCCTGTATACACTGATTTGCTGCCTCTTAGATCTGATTTATTTTTTCATTTTGTTTTTTTATGTTAATATGTGAAAGCCAAATCTCATTGGTAAGCTTCCTGCTCACGATGCCACAGAACGGTGGGGAACCATATCAGTGCCCTCTGATTGGACCGCAGTTGAACCAATCAGGGGAAGTTAGCTGTCATTATGAATCAGTGAAAGCCTTTTATTTTTAGTCATTTAACCTATTGCATTTGAGAAGATTGTGACATTGTGCAGGACTCATTTCAATCATCGTCTGTCTTGTCAAGGGTGTTGATCAACATTTAGATCAGAGCTGACCAATCAGGGGACAGAATGTGTTTGCTGACTTGTACAAAGCCAACGAATACACTTACAGGAATATTTAGGATCAAAAGCTGGATTGAGGGGAGGGAGGGAAAGAAAAAATAACGTGTACTGTATAGTTCAGTGTGAGTGAACATGGTTGTGAATGTGTATGCGTGTGTGTTTGAGCATTGGTAATAAACTCTTTATAAATCAGTTATGATTTTGACTAATTTCCCCTTCATGCATTACTCCTGTTTTAATAGATACAAATCTTTAGAAAACTATACAACAAAATACATTTTTTTTTCTGTCCATCCACAAATATGTGAAAGCCCGTTTGTGAATGTAGACATCAGAAAAATAGTCTTAAACATATTTTGGCTCCTTGTTACCTTGTTGCTGCAATGGAAAATAACCGGGTGTACCTAAAAATACTGAAAATGTTAGTATATGTGCTCCTTGAGATATAAAACCTTATACTGATTTGATCTTAATGTTTACGTAATTTTATGTTTTTGTCATCTTTTTTGTTTTTTGTATGTCTAAAGTTTAAGCTTTTAATTTTTGTTTTCGGTAAATTAACAGGTTTTTAGCTTACTGAAAATGTTAGTATATGTGCTCCTTGAGATATAAAACCTTATACTGATTTGATTTGATCTTAATGTTTACGTAATTTTATGTTTTTGTCATCTTTTTTGTTTTTTGTATGTCTAAAGTTTAAGCTTTTAATTTTTGTTTTCGGTAAATTAACAGGTTTTTAGCTAATATAAAAAAATTTGTTTATATATATATATATATATATATTTTATTGAATTGAAGAATTTGGTATTTAGTGATCGTTTTGAAACAACCTGTGATGAACCTGTGGTTACTCTGGAATTAGTGAAGTTAGTTCTGAAAGGTCTACGAGGAACTGTATATTTTTGGTAGCCACTACACATGGTTTATGTCATCACTGAGAATGCTTTGACTGTTTGAATGCAAATCTCAAATGCTAATTGAGCACTTTAATGAGTAATTTATATATGCATGTTTCAGCTTCTGACTCCAAGCAACATCTGCTTGGTTATTCTTAAGTCTAAATTTGGAGCAAATTTTTAAAATGCACAAGCTTAACAAAACAGCATGTGAAGAACAAAGTGTTTTATTGGAATGGAAAAAGAAAACCTTCCGTTCACAACCACTCAAAGCACTTAGTCAGCTTTCAGACATCAATTCATTAAATATTAGTGAAAAATCAAGACTGGTTTATTCAACAGGGAACTAAAACAATATTGCTTTTTTGTGGAGAAATTGACGACAAGATTCCACAAAACCAAACTGACAATAAAAGCTTCCAACAGTGAAAGTAATGACTGGAAAAGGTCAAAACGTGAAGACTGCCTGCAGCTTTCTTCTGTGCCTGTCATTTTAAAATAAAAATGTTAAACTAATCATTCAGCACAAAGAAAATTTTTAAAAAGCTCAATATACAAAATACTTTTACAGCAGTATATTCTCTCTGAAATGAAATGTGTAACTGCGTAACAACTGAATTTTACAGAATATTATCTCGAGATCTTGCTCTTACAGATTTAGTAAATGTTCAAAATATGAACTGTTGGCATAAAAGACCCTCTCTTTTTGGACCACTGACTTCAGTCTAGTAGTCCGTACCATCACACAACCGAGCTGCATCTCAGAAAAGCAGTAAAAAAAAAAATACTAGGAGTGACAATGGAATGGGAGGATTAATAATACAATAGAAAAACAACTGATATAAAGTTTGTTCCCCAATGTGATGCATTTGCAAAAAAATAACCCCCTACTAATGATCACTTCACAATTATCACCCATATTAGGGGTAGATGTCCAATGTTTAACTTGATTAAAATAAAACAGCTGACAGAAATTGAATATGACAATGTCCCAAATAACAGTTGTTTGGACGTCTGTTTCCAGTATATCGATGATTATGACATTTAAATACGTATTAAGGATTTACTACATTATTCGACTGATTTTTGCACTTAATACGTTATACAAAAAAGAAACAATAACACAATCATTCCGTTTATAACTTCATACAAACTCTTTCTCTCTGCATACTGAACATTAGCACATTCTGCTCCAGTCCCACAGTGCTCTTCAGCAGCATGCACTTTCTATTTGTCCTTCTTGCTCTCGGTGTCCATCGCGGTGATGGTCTCGGCCTCCGGCTCTTCCTCTTCAGGCACAGGGGCAAACACAGATTCGCTGGGCCTCTCGAACTTCTCTCCTTTGGTCTTACCAAGCTTCTTTGACTTCTGATACAGCTCGTTGAGGTTAAACTCTCGGATGATGTTTTCCTGGAAACAATGGAAAAACACTAGTCACAACACATTTATCTGTATAGTACAGAAACATACACAGAGAATAAAGCAGGATGTTTCTGACAAAGTTTTTCCACTCCTGAAGCTCTTTTTGTTGTTGTTGAAGATTAAGCCTCACCTCTGTGAAGGCCCAAGATACTGCCCGTCCCTTTTTGTCCACCTGAGGGCGCCTCATAATTTCCTTTCCTCCCTGGAAGAGCACTAGAGAGGGCAGCTGCTTTGAGAGAGGAGAGGTGCTGACCCTGTATCTGAGGGGAAAAAAGCAAACATTGCACATTGTCAAAGTATGTTACAATTAGCCCAGAGACACAGCAGAGCTACTTACTTTTTGGCTACTTCACTGTAACGACCAATGTCCACTTTGCCAAATTTCAGCCCTGCACAGTTGTACCTGAGTAAGAGAGAAGTTAATAGTTTCTATTCAGAATATTTTAATTTACAGAAACTGATGCTGGATGTACAGTACAAGTCAAAAGATTGAGGTCGGTAAGATTTAAAAATATATATATTTTAAATACAGTAATATTATGAAATATTAATACAATTTAAAATAACTTTCTTCTATTTAAATACAATTTAAAATGTTAATGTCTGTGATGGCAAAGCTGAATTTTCAGCAGCCATTAGTCTAATTTTAGTTTTTAATTAGTACAATTATTTAGGATTTATTTCATATAGCTTATTTTCGTGACAGTCATCCCATTCCATCTGCCACATGTCATTAATATAAGAGTTTATCACAGGTTTGACACTGAAATATTCAGGTTGAGTGCTTCTTGTTGATCAAGAAAAATGTGTATTAATATTAATTTTGAAAACAGATGTGCTGCTTAATGATTTTTTATTAATACCTGAAAAATATTACATTAATGTGTTTTTTTTTAGGATTCTCTGAGGAAAAGAAAGAAATATTCTGTCAAATTATCAATGTTTTACTGTCGCTTCTGATCAGTTGAATGTCTTTTCTGCATAAAAGTATCATTGTTTTCCAAAAAACATTTAAGCCATAATGAAGAGCGACGTTCTTACTTCAAGGACAGATCAGCATAGACCGAGGCGAAAGACTGACACTCTGGTGACCAGTTAGCAAAAAACTCCACGATCCAGGTCACTCTGTTATCCTTCTCCAACTCATCCTAAAAACAAAAGAAAAGTGAGCATCTATACTCACTAGCATAAACTGAACAGTTTCAAGCATATATTTGAACTCAACATTCCCCTCAGGCTGCTGAAGTTAAATATCAGCTATGTGGCTGAAATTTGAAAATGGCTTATTTGCAAAGAATACTGGGCTGCAATGGTAATAAGCATTTATGGCCTCTGAATTCCTGTTACTAATAAACCAAGCACACTCAAGCTTTGATGTTTTAAGTCAGTGGTTAGTATGCAATGAGATGCCCCAGAATAAAGTGTGCCCATCACTGACGCTCTTCTAGTATACACCTCCCCAATCATTCTCATTCATATTGTTCAGATCTTTTCCCACTCTTTGCAAATGTGTTTTGAAAACCAGCAGCTCATGAGCCATGGCTAAAGTACTTGTGTCTAAAGGAAACTGGCTAATATGAACCAAGCGGCGACCTTCCAGTCTCTCTCTTGTGAAACCAACACAGAAGTGACTAAAACTGCAATTCATCGACTGGCCGCTAGAGGCTGGCTTCAAAAGGGAGTCAGTCCCATAGACTCCCCATGTTAAAATGCCCAACTTTACAGCAGAAATGGTTTTTTACAGCCTGGTACAAAAAGTGGTTTTGGTCTATATAGCTAATTTTGCCCTTCATGACAGCTGTGAGGGGGGTGGATTTTTTTATAACTCATCCGTTTAAATTATATTAAGCCTTAACGTTCTGCATAATTAAGGGCGTGGCCACTTGAGTGACAGGTGGATTGCCGCTGCTGTCACCACCGGTGAGCTAGGTGGGCGTGGTTTCAGCAACCAGCTCCCGCCTCTTTGCCCATTTTCGATTATCCAGGAGTGACGCGCTGCCAAGATGGCTCCGGCCACTTTAGGCTTCAAAAACGCTCTTCATATGAACACATACTCACATCAATGGTTTTATCACTGAAGTACTTGATGTATTCAGGGCCCATGTAGATCGGAGGTTTGCAGGTCATCAGGGAAACTGCATCAATCATTAGAGAATATTAACAGCCATCATAATACATCAGTGGGATTTTTAGTATCAATCATATACTATTTTAATTTTTGTTCCTATTTTAATTAGATTTTATTTATACATTTTCTGTTTTCATTACAATTTTAGTTCAAGTTTTAATTTTCAGTTTTATGTCAGGTTTTTTTTTTTTTTTAAGATTTAGTCAACAATAATAAACCTGTATTACACTTGCCTAATATTTGTTTTTAGTCTACAGTTCTTTCCAATTGAGTGACTGTTTGCAATCTTGTGAAAGATAAAAAAAACTGACCAATACACAATGTCAAGTAGAGAAGCCCCAAACGTATGTCCAGTCTGAAGAACAGAATCACATTGGCCACTTTACAAAAGAGGATGATGTTGCCCAAGTGCTGCTCGATAGTAACTGCGGAGGAAGGATATTAAAAAAAAAACCATTTTCATATCGAACTGCTTTGTGATACGAAAATGCATACTCAAAGGGGTCGAGTTGAACAGCAGAGCTGGAGGAGGGGAAAGAGTGTAACAGAAACACTGAATGACAAAGAAAACTGATTTAACAACAAACACAAAGACAACCGTCACTGAGAGCACAAAGACTCACAGGTGCCCAAATGTTTAGTGTATAAACAAAACCTTCACATTCAACCTCAGCATCAAGACGATGATGATGATGGTTAAGAGATCATTTGCTGTCATTTGAATGCCAATAAAGAATGCTATAGAGAAAATTAATTGCACAAAGATGGAAAAGCGTGTTTTAAGAGGGAGAAACTCTTACTTGCTCTTCTGTTCTTCATCATGACTATAGCACTTAAAAACATCAGTATCTCCACCTCTCTCTGAAAAAAAATGTATAAACAAAGGCTGACATTAATTAAAATGTTGCATAGTAAAGACGCTTAAAAATAAAATAATAAAATAATATAAAGTGACTATATATATATATATATATATATATATATATATATATATATATATATACATACACACATATATAATTATATTATAAATACCTTATAAATTATGCAGTACAGTTATAATATGCTTTCACTTTTATTGTTTCAAAATCCTACAAATTTCTGTGAATTTAACAGTGCCCAGATTTACCCACTTTTGCTGTATCGTTCAGGGTTTGGAACCCACTGTGTGCCTTTTTTTTATCATAAATAAATATAAAGACACAACAGTGAAGGATACAGATGCACCACACGTGGGACACGTTGCCGATTTACTTATTTCCACATGCATTATTTTTATGCATGGTATTCCAAACTTTTTTTACCATGATTTGGGCTTGTTTTCTTGCCAGCTAAATAGCGACCCCCACATTCTGCTGGCCACTGCCCAGTCCCCTTGTTACGAAGCAGGTTAGCTGTATCCGTTATCATGAATCATGTGTTAAACCCCAAAGGTCTGCTTTATACATACCCAGTCAAAATCGCATGAATTTCCATCCTCGCGCTGCGTCGAAAGATGTTCGCAGATCCCAGGCGTTTTGCGGATAAGCAGGAACGCGACAGACATAAATAACGAGGCGATGTAGTATGGCTTTAGTAGCCATTTGTAAACCTGCGGCAAATGATACAGAAACGCGAAGAGGGCTGTTAATAACGCCATTCTTCTTTTTAATTTTTAGGAAACGAGTGCTGCGGTGATCCGAGACAGCAGAATCCGCATCAACGCCGCTATCAATGGGAAACAATATTCGTCGGCAAATGAATTAAACGATTTAAAGGGACAGAGGTCACTGCGGACGAAGAAAAAAAAATCCGCCCTGTCTCTTCAAAGCGCGCCCATTGATTGGTCACTTTCCTGAAACGACGTCGCTTATTGGTCGAGATGTCACATAAAGGGAAGGACCAGAGGAAGTATGTCGCTTTTTTTCTTTACCGTAATAAATAAACTCCCATTTTGACATGCGTCACTGACACGAACGTTAATTATTTGTCTCATCTTATATAATTATTTTTGCAGATAAACTACAGTAGTATACAATATAATGCATTTTTAGGACGCATTATATGAGTCTATTTGGTGCAGTTTCGGAACTTGGTACTACAAGATCACGTACTTGATATATTACGGTAAATTTCCCCAAACAACCGGAAGCAATTGTCAACAGATCGTCGTTCTGCAGTAGCAAAGCCGAGATAAACGCCCACACAGTAATAACATCGTAGTGTAGTTTTGCCATCATGACCGAAATCTTCTCTCTGTACGGTCAGCCTGATTCACAGGGTCCAGCAGGGCCCTCTGCGCTTGGCTTTGGATCTGGGAAACCTCAGGTACCCCAAAACATGGGCCCGATGTGTTTCCCGCATCAGATGGTGGATGAAGGGGGTCCGATCAGAAAACCCGCCGCGATGAACGAGCCCTTCTACCTGCTGCGAGAACTGCCCAGTGAGCGCCTCTTTGTGATTTTAATATTGGGGATATTATTGATTTCGTCGTAATAATATATAATAAAGTACTGTGTCAGTGTCGGCGTCATTCTAGAGTGATTGTATAGCATGTACCCAGGTATTTACATGGTAATTCAAAGAATACCATGGTAACCATAGTTCCAGGGCAGGACTTAGGGGGGCGGGGGCCCCTGGGCTTGAGGTTATGTTTGGGCCCTATACCTACACTACAAATGCCCTCAAATAGAACATCATTATGGAGTAACACAAAATACACAAACATATGCTTTGAGGTTCATAAATAGTACAATTAATATGCAACATGTCTAGGCTATAATCAAAGTTTAAATGTAATATTAAATATTCATTATAATATAATAAACAGGATGTGTTCTCTCAGTTGAGAGATGAAAACCCTGAAATAACTTTGAGCAAAAAAAAAAAATAAAGCCAGAGATGTTGGCTTATTAGTATTGTAAAAGTTATTGTCATATCTATGTCCTCTTATGTCAGGTTCTTATTTAATCAATAAATCCAATCGAATAAAAACGCATGCTGGCTGTTAACAATCAAATGAAATCGCTATCAACAAAATTCATAGATGGATTGTGCGTAAATGTTAAGTTTAAATATAACATTTTAATGTAGAAATATTAAATGATTGCAAAAATGAAAAAAGCTACTTTTTAAAATATGAAACTACAACCGCCAGCAGGTGGCAGCAAGTGACTTGTAATGAGTGAGTTAAATCAACCGATTCGTTAAAAAATCTGATTCATTTAACTTTGCAAATTGACTGTACTTATAGCCTGATTGAATCATTTGCTGGTCTGTGTAACGCTGAGGAACAAAACACTGTTGTTCGGAGACACGGCGGTTCTGCTGTTTGTTCTATTTTCTTTCTGACGGAATTTTGTGTCTGAAAGTTACTCTGTAAGTTGTTGTTTATTGTACATTAGCGATCGTGCAGATATTTGAGAAAAAAACAGGACTCTTGTTTGTGTGATAGGCATAGCTATGTTATAAAAACAGAAACTCATTAAATTGCTATTTTTTATTTAAAATGATTACATTTTGATTACATTTCTTCCTCACTAGGCCTATGTGTAATGGCAGTAAGACGAGAGAGAGCGCTCAAAACTCATCAGATGATCGCATAATTTAGTGGAACATTAATATAGTAATATAGAATCATCCTCTGTAAAGATATGAGGTGTGAACATTTAAGAATTTATCATTATCTTTCTAAATGTGCGCTCTTTTGGGGCTAAAGGTTTAATGGAGCTGCTTAAAGTAGTCATGTGATAACAAACCAAACTGTGCAGACACGATTCAATAAGTGTGTCCTTCTTCTATGTGAAATAATCATAAATACCAGCTTATGCCCTGGCTGGCCCGTTTAGATCTTGTATGCGCAGTGGAAATGTGGCTAATAATTTCTGAATATTGACTGGCATATAACAAACAAATCAAACAAACGTAAACGGGCAAAGGCGGGGCCCATGGGATGCAGCCCACTCAAGCCCAATGGTAAGTCCGGCCATGCATAGGACCATGCAATATGTCATGCCATTACCCTAGTAACAATAGTTAACAGCATCACTGTTACTCAAAAATATTATAAAATTAAAAGAAAACCACTTATTCATTTGTTATGGTTTTGATTTTATTAAAAATAATGGTTGTATTTTGTTTTATAGTTTTTAACCAGGGAGCCGGGGCCACTAGAGGGCCTCAGCAAACTTCCAAGTGGGCCTCTTGAGACAAAATAAGCTTTAAAATAAGATAAAAAAATTAAAGTGTGATTTCTCAGAGTGGAAAAGTCATGTAATTTAATAAATATTAATTAAAAAATCGTACAATTAATTGGCAATTTGTTTTTATCATGAATATACATTACATATTGTTCTGCTAGCTATATATTTGTTAAAAATAGTGGGATCCCTGAAGAACATTTTGCATTTAAAACTTTATTTTAATTTTAATTATTATTAGGTACTTGTTGTAATCTATGATGAAACAAAACATAGTAATTACAGCAGATTTACCAAAGGAAACCAATCAGCCTTGGAGTCGAAAAGATGTTACCATGTAAATTTTGTAATGGTAGTGGGTTATTTTAGAGTTTATGTCACCTTTATGAACCGGTTAACACTCATGTCTTCACAGTGGAGAATGAGCTGACAGGACACACTAATCTCATCACACACTACAACCTGGAGCACGCTTATAACAAGTTCTGCGGAAAGAAGGTGAAGGAGAAACTCAGCAACTTCCTTCCAGAGCTTCCTGGTGTGTATGCATACTTTTACCTTTCACTGCCGATTTTACAGTAGTTCTAGAACCTCAAAGGGATAGTTCACCTAAAAATGACAATTCTGTCATCATTTACTCACCCTCCATTTGTTTTTTTGCTCTGTTGAACACAAAAGAAGATATTCTGAGGAATGTTGGCAACCAAACAGTTCACAGCAGCCCATTGACTTCCATAGTATGAAAAAAAGTCTATGGAAGTCTATGGCTACCGTCAGCTGTTTGGTTAGCAATGTTCTTTTCATTATTTTGGGGTGAACTATCCCTTTAACTATCCGCCACTGCCTGTATTGAAACTACACACCTGTATTCCAGGTATGATCGACAGCCCAGGCATTCAGGACAACAGCTCTCTGCGATCTGTCATTGAGAAGCCGCCAGTGTGCAACAACTCGTTCAGTCCTCTCACTGGGGCTATGCTCACTGGCTTCAGGCTACACACTGGCCCTGTAAGTGTGTGTGTGTGTGTGTGTGTTTGTGAGAGAGGCTAAAGAAGGATCCCCTTTGCATTTAGGGAGGCAAGTGTAACTGATGCTGCCTCTACTTTGACTGTACTCGGAGGTTTGTCGATGTCTTTCTTAGACAGCGTTGGTAGCAAATGGTTATGTGGGTCAGACATTTGTTGTTGTTTTGCAAGCAAGGTTTATTGACTCTCTCCGTCCTGACAAAGTTACCAGAGCAGTACAGACTGATGCACATTCAACCACCGAAGAAGAAGAACAAACACAAGCATAAACATCATCGGCCTCAGGATCCCTTACCGCCAGGTGACGGTCAAACACAAACACACAAAGAAACGAACGGTTGCTTTCTTAAATCTTGACTGTCAAACTCACGTCTTTACCACAGAAACTCCGTCAGATTCAGACCATAAGAAGAAGAAGAAAAAGAAGGATGATGACCCGGACAGAAAGAAAAAGAAGAAAGATAAGAAGAAGAAAAAGGTTAATTGGAGTTATTATGGTCTTCATATGACAGTACAGATTACAATTGGCCTTAATTTATAAGAAATCTTCTACACTACTGTTCAAAAACTTTTTAATAATTTAATGTTTTAAAATCTCTTATGCTCATTTATTTGATCAAAAATACAGTAAAACAGTAATGTTGTGAAATATTATTACAATGTGAAGTACATATTTTAAAATATAATATATTCCTGTGATGGCAAAGTTGAATGTTCAGCATCACTACTTCAGTGTCACATGATCCTTTCTGAAATCATTCTAATATACTGATTTGCTGCTCAAGAAACATTTCTTATTATTGTCAGTTTTGAAAACAGCAGTGCTGCTTAATATTCTTATGGAAACCATTATTCTCTGATTAATAGAAAGTTCAAAAGTACTGCATTTATCGAAAATGATCAAAAATATTTTGTAAAATTACAAATGTCTTTACTGTCACTTTTGATACATTTAATGCATCCTTGGTACAAGAAAGTATTAATTTCATACCGTAAAGCTTCTAACAGTAGAGTATGTTTTTGATTTGTTCATACATTAATACAATATTAATTCAATTGTGAAATAGTACACCTGATATCTCTGATAAATACAATATTGTTATTTCTCCATGTTCAGAATCGCCACAGCCCTGATCACCCAGGCATGACTGGAGCTCAGCCCAGCAGCAGCAGTCTGAGATAAAAACTGCCTCAATGGCAGAAAAACAAGAGGAACGAGATGAAGAGAAGCACAAGCTGGACATTTGGGGCTTTTCTGGGACGTCACAGATTTAATGTTACAGTGACTCAGATATGTGTGTATATAGTGTGAGAGTATATCATTATGTAATGTACCAGAACACCTGGTAACCATTGCATCTGTTATATTTGTAAGTGTCTTAGTGCCTCTGTGTCTATTTATGAGCACGATGAATCATTTTTCATTCAACTTTTTTAAAACCTTTTTTTACAAATAAAACAATCAGCTGAGAAATGGGCTGATTTGTGAAAAAAAGATTAGAATTTTTTTTTCTTTCAGGCATATTTACAGTCGTGAGCACAGTACAAGCACCATTATGTTGAACAATCATTAGAATCATTGAAACCGATAACATGATCACAGTTCTGTAACATACAGAACAGCACTTTTGAAACAGCGAATATAGTGCAAAACTGGCCTCTGCAATAAAATGAATCATCTGTATTTGTCATATAAAGCTGCATTTCCATCAGGTTTTTGAGAGAGGGATGGCAAAAAAAATCTATGTCAAGGTAAAGTGAGCATTACATGAAGCCCTGCCTCATTTACCTGAGTCTTGAAGGAGGAAAAAAATTACATTCTCTACATTCCGTAAATGGCGAGCGTTATTTAAACATTTTTTGACTACGCATACTAGTGAATATGAATATGTCTGTGTCCTGCACATTCATAATGAAGATCATAACATGATAGAATACAAGTTCACAGTAATTCGTGAGCTACTCTCCTAAAAACTCCGGCATAGACTTTCAAGGAGGTTTTTTGATCGAGATATGGAGACTGAAGGTCAAGTTTCCCTTTTATAGTATCTCAGCAAGTTAGATCAAGTTTTGATGAAAGATTATGAACACAAAATGATTGTCTTTGGTATAAAATGCACTGATTAATTGTGCACAATAACACTGATTTTCTTAAAGTAAATGGAGCTAATTTTGATTCACACTGACTAACAAAAGTTTCGAGGCAGGAGGATTGATATGCAATGTCAATTGATCATATTTAACGCCTCCTGGTTCTGCTACCATTTTAATGGACATCTAAAAGTGTCAATGCAATAATAATAATTGGAGAAAACTAACTATAATAATGCAAACTATATATTGTAGGTCATGGCATAATGTTTTTCTGATAGATATTAAACGCCTTGAAAATACATCCTGCCCAGTTAAAGCCTTGACTGATGCTTTGTTTTTAACACTGTTTTATATTTGTCAATACTTCAGTGACTGAACATGAAGTCCGATAATTCAGTTTCTGAAGTGCCATGATATAATAACTCATAAATCAGGTGTATAATTCACATACACCTCAATCCTAAATGTTTTCCACCTCAGACGTTCCCGTTTGTTTGATATTTTGCTGAATCATTTGTTTGGTTGAGGCTGTTGCTCTCCTGCGCTGACTGGCTCATTGACAGACTATGACGGGCTGCCTTCTCCTTTATAATTTGTCTCTGGTGGTAGAAGAGGTATCCCGGCAGCAGGAATCCAACCAATGAGAACACAAGCAGGCCCAAGTTGATCTGTTGATTCAAAAAGTGTTATGTTTGGTACTTTGTCCAAAATCTTGATTATGTTGACCTGCACTATACTACAATACAAATACACATTTGCTTTGCACATGAATGGTGTATTACACTCAACAATGTGTTTGTCTCACCCAATAAGGATCACCCTTCAATGGTCCCAGCATCCACATGAAGAGTGGTTGTTGTAGGAGGGCAAACACAGCACTGATCATGGACTGCAAGCCCGTCAGAGTGCCAAAGTGATTGGTTGGGTAACTAAATATGCAAATAAACACTTTGAGGATAACATAAACAGCTAATATTACACATATGCAACTTACGGAGCCATTTTTAACAGTTATTTGGGATTCAAATCATAGTATTATCATTAACTAAAACTAAAACCCATAAAAAAAAAAACATTTTCATAAGATAAACATTAACTGAAAACTAAAATATAAAAAAACCTTCAACTTATTTTAATTCACCTAGATGCCAAGGCAACATTTATAATTTTTGTTTAAAGTACTAGAATATCAGAAACTAACTTACTAAAAACTATGAAGACAAAAAAAGTTATAAAAATGGCAAACACACAACAACATTTCAAAAACTTTAAATTTAAAATAAAAACATAAAAAGTCTAATTCATTATATGTGACCCTGGACCACAAAACCAGTCATAAGGATCAATTTTTTGAAACTGAGATTTATACATCATCTGAAAGCTGAATAAAGCTTTCCATTGATGTATGGTTTATGATAGGACAATATTTGGCCGAGATACAACTATTTGAAAATCTGGAATCGGAGGGTGCAAAAAATATTGAGAAAATCACCTTTAACGATGTCCAAATGAAGTCCTTAGCAATGCATATAACTAATCAAAAATTAAGTTTTAATATATTTACAGTAGGAAATTTACAAAATATCTTCATGGAACATGATCTTTACTTAATATCATAATGATTTTTGGCATAAAAGAAAAATCTATAATTTTGACCCATACAATGTATTTTTGGCTATTGCTACAAATATACCCCAGCGACTTAAGACTGGTTTTGTGGTCCAGGGTCACATATTAACAAAAACTATAATAGTATGCCAGTGATTCTAAAATAACACTAATTCAAATTATTCATTTTCACTTTTTGGCTAGAATTATTAAGCTGATCTTCAGTCGAGCATGTGTTTGTGTGCTGTGTTCAGGTCATTTTATCCTTAAGCAGCACATAAAATCATGTGGATTTTGACCAGTAAAACTCACACAGCAGCGTAGAGCCCACCACAGCAGGAGTGAATAAAACCTCGAACTGCAGTGTGAAGAACAAATGACACCACCTGATCAGAAAGGAGAAAAAGAAAAATACATAATAATTAATGGTCATCAACATTTTCATGTTTTGTAGCATAAACACAGCAAGGTCAAATGTTTTTTTTTAATTGTATTTACATTTATTTTATTTATATGATTATATACTAATATTATGTATCAGTGCAAAATTATATATAAAAATTAAATAAAAATTATATATGGTGCAAAATTATATAGGATTTTATAAATTATGTATGATTGCAAAGTTATATATGAATATGTAAATGAAAATTATGTGAGTGCAAAGTTATATATGAATATAAAAATGCTAATTTATATATGAAAAATTAACTAATACAATTGTAATTAAATATCATTAAAGGTGCAATAGGTGATTGTCTTCAGAAACATTTTTTGTTATGCTGGTTGAAAGTCTCTTCACATGCCGATAGCCCTCATTAAGTTAAGTGGTCTAAATGTATTTGTCTGTATTTATATATTCTGTGGAAGGCGTAGGACCAAGAAATGTTCGTCCAATCAAAACATTCGGTCCGAGCGTTTTAATTGGCTTTCCTACCTGCCTGTCAAATATGTATTAGCATACCTCTGCACACCTGGTTCGCGCAGACAGGTTACGTCATCAGCTCGTTCACGCATGCTGGGCAGACAGAGCGAGAATGGCAGACAAACATCAACAACCCGATCTTCCTTCCTGGTATTGTAGTACTTTTAAAGTTTTCTCACCGGTGAATGACGCATGATGTAGCCCAGCGGTTCCCAATTCCAGTCCTTGCGATTCAGATAACCAGCTCTTTAGAAGTGAGCCGAAGGGTGCATGAACTGTGTTCCGATCGATAGGATCCCTACACAGTGTTCACTGCTCCCGCGAGGATTGGAATTGGGAACCGCTGATGTAGCCTATTGTAATGTTGTCTCTGGTATTCTGGTCTGTGAGCTTATATGCGTTCAGGGGGCATGGCTTTGGATGGTGATTGCAGGGAGGGTGGGACTTTCGCTTTCAGTGCTATCAGGCTAAAGTTAGCATTTTCCAAGATCTCCTACTGCACCTTTAAATAACTAAATAACATTCTGCAGTATTTCTGAACAAATAAGTAAATTTGTGACATTGTGTCTAACCTGTACGGGTAGATTGTCTATGAGAGAGATGATGCCGAAGATGACTAGCAGAGTGTTCGTAAGGATGAAAGCTCTGATGGCGTTGGTGAGTTTCTGGATCTTTCTGTCCCTTTTTGGAGGCTCGGAGGGACTGAAGAAAACAATGAAAGGAACCAGTTAACAATGTAACTGACATATCAAAGTAATTGAACATTTCTCTCCTTCTCTTTCAACCACCTTCACCTTTTTTCTCCCTCTGCTGAATTTACCACGTCCTCGCACTCCTTCATTCTCCAGTCCATGATGTAGCCAATCAGAGGACAGGAGACCAGGCAGAGCAGCTGAAGAGTGCCAAAGATGGACGGGCTGATATTCACTATAACACACACACACACACACACACTCTCTCTTTTATATTCCATTCACTATACAAACACTTCCCTGAATAATGTTGCCATATAATCCTGATATTGCACTGACTGATGCTTATACTGATACATGATATATTAAATACATTAAACCAAATAAATGAAACTAGATTTTTTTTTAATCAGAAGTCATTTAACTTTAGCGAGACATTTTTAAATTTTTATCAACTGGTGTCAAGGTCGCTATCGTCCTTCAAATTTCTCCCTGGTTTGATATTTTGTTTTCTAACGTAATATCATTGATACATTAAAGGGACAGTTCACCCAAAAATGAAACTTCTGTCATCATTTACTCCCCATCCACTTGTTCCAAGCCTGTATGAGTTTCTTTCTTCAGTTAACCACAAAATAAGATGTTATGAAGAATGTTGGCAACCAGACAATTGATGGTAGCCATTGATTTCCATTCCCTATGAAAGTCAATGGCTACCATCAACTGTTTGATGTTCTTCAAAACATCTCATTTTGTGTTCAACAGAAAAAAGAAATTCATAGGTTTTTAACAAGTGGATGGTGAGCAAACGAAGAAATTTCATGTGAGGGTGAACGGTCCCTTTAAGTGTGTCATAAGTGTCCAAATATCTGTTTGTTACAAAACCAAAATAATATATGACTTTTCATACCTTTCTCCTCTGCCTCCTTCACCAACTCCTCTGAGGCTAAACAGACACATACAGGAAGTGAAAATAATGCAATATAAAGCCAATTTAAACTACTAACTTTACTACCCACTTACAAACACCCACCACTAACACATGCTTCTGCAAAACTATAGCAAACACCTGTAGGCTTGTGCTGATTACATTTACCCATCTGTCCATAAGCTAATTTATGAAAACACATTTCAAAGAACAAAGTCATTTTCTTTCGTATTTTTTAATTTAATTAAAAACAAATGACTGAAATGTTTAGCTGATACTCACGATTAGGGTCACCATGTGTAACAAGGAACTCCAACATCTTATTCATGGCACCCATGAAAAAAATGACACGGAGCTGGGTCATCGCCATTGTGATGATGCTCCACAGGAAAATAGGTGAGCACACAGAACGATAAAAGCGAGGAGATCCTGCTGTCCAAACATTGACAACAGAAAGATTATTTTATGATCAGATTCACAATGTTTTTGTAGA